ATTTGGTTCCTATTCTCAGTATTTCTTACCTTTATATCTTCCAATAAAGGTTAAGAATCTTAGGTATTCTGTTACCATCATTTGCGCAGTTTGACTGAAGTTAGGATATTTGGCTGATCTTTAAAATATGAAATATATCATTTTGAAGTAACCAAATTAGTCTTTGTTTTTATTGATTGTTAACAAAATAACCCAGAAATTTTGATTGTGAGGACTAACAGAATGAGTTACAAATATGGTCAAAATCAAGAATATAGTTGAAGTTTTTTTTATAATGGAACATTGCTCTTTCTTAACACACAAAAAAATATTCATGACAAATTTTGTTTTCTTATTGCATAATTGTTCTGTATGGCTTTTTTTTCCTGGTTTCCTTAGGTTATGGAAAAGGTACCAAGCATATACAGAAATGGTGTGAATTCTTTGGTTCATTTGGAATGTTAGAAAAGCAACTTCTAAAAACAGCTTTATTAAGATATCATTTGCATGCCATTATATTTATCCTTAAAATGTATAATTCAGTGGTTTTAGCATCTTCACAGGGTTGTACAGCTGTCACCACAATCAATTTCAGAACATTTCCATCACCCAAAAAGAAACTGTACCCGTGATATCATTCCTCTTTCCCAGCCCACACAGCCCTAAGCAACCACAAATGCTCTTCTCTCTGTCTGACCTTTAGAGGAACTGCCAGGCTATTTTCTATCGGGTTTTGAGAGTGCCTCATGTAGTCTAGGTACTAACCCCTTGTTGGGTATGTGATTTGTGAATCTTTTCTCCCAGGCTGTAGCTTGTCTTTTTATCCTTTTAATAGTGTCTTTTGTAGAGCAAACGTTTTTAATTTTGATGAAGTCTACTTTACCAAGTTTTTCTTTTATGAGTTGTATTTTTGGTGTCAAATTAGCCTTGGTCTCAAAGAGTTTCATTTTCTTTTTTCCTAAAAGTTTTGTACTTCTTTGATCTACCTTAAGTCCATCATTCATTTTGAGTTAATTGTTATGTAAGGTATGAGCCTTAGGACAAGGTTCGGGTTCTTGTCGATGGATATGTAATTATGATAGGCCATTTGTGGAGACTACTTTTCCTCATTGAATTGCTTTTTGCACCTGTCAGATATCAGTTGGCCATATTTTTTTTCTTTATTGATTTTAGAGAGACAGGAAGGAAGAGGGAGAGAGAGATAGAAATATCGATGAGAGAGAACATCGATTGGCGGCCTCCTGGCCCACAATCTGGGCGTGTGCCCTGACCGAGAATCAAAGCAGTGACCTCTTGGTGCAGGGGTCAACGCTCAACCACTGAGCCACACCGGCGGCCGGGCCAGTTGGCCATATTTCTGTGCATCTTTTATGGGTTCTCTATTCTATCAACCTAAAGCCACATAGTTTTAATACCTTTATATGATGTCTTAAAATGGGCAGACCGATTTTTCTTGCCTTATTCTAACTCCTTTGTCTTTACATAATTTTAGAATAATTTTGTCTGTACCTGCAAAAAAGTATGCTGGGATTTTGATAGGAATTATATTAAACTTATATATCAATTTATAGAGAATTGACATCTTTACTATGCTGAATCTTCTACATGAACCCATGACTACTACAGAGTGGGGCAAAAGTAGGTTTACAGTTGTATGTATGGAAAATAATACAATGACTAATAAATAATAATACAAGAATAAACTATTTTGTGTCCTCGCAACTGTAAACCTGCTTTGCCCCACCCTCTATATGTCTCTGTTTCATTTCTTTAGATCTTTGATTTCTTTCATCTGTGTCTTGTAGGTTTCAGTATACAAGTCCCGTGTATGTTTTTTTTAGACTTCTAATATTTCAGTTTTTGAACTATTAGTAGTAGTATTTTTTAATTTAGGTGTCCATGTGTTCGTTGCTAGTATATAGGAATGTGATTTTTTTTTAAATGTTTTTTTCTTGTATTCTGTAGCTTTGCTGTACTTACTTATGGTTTATTTTATTTCCATAAAATGCTTTGGTTTTTCCATGGAGGCAGTTATTTTATTCTTGAATAAGGACAATTTACCTCATCCTTTCCAAACTGTATGGTTATATGTGTTTTCTTTTCTTGCTTTATTACACTGGCTAGAACTCCAGCGCTGTGGCTAGTGTGGGTATCTTTGCCTCATTTCTGATGGTAGGAGGAAAGAGGTCAGTCTTTTACCATTAAGTAAAAGACCATAATGTTAGCTGTAGACTTTTAGTATATACTCTTTTTATTAAGTTGAGGAAGTTCCTCTTTTTTTTTCTTCTAATCCTCACAGAGGACATTTTTGCATTTATCTTCAGATAGAGCAGAAGGGAGAGAGGGAGAAAGAGAGAAAGAGAAACATCAGTGTGAGAGAGACACATCGAGTGGTTGCCACCCACACGACCCCAACCAGCACCAGGCACAAACTGCAACCAAGGTACATGCCCTTAGCGGGAACCGAACCCAGGACTCTCTGGTCCACGGGCTGACGCTCCAACCACTGAGCCAAACCGGCCAGGGCAGAAGTTCCTCTTTATTCTTATTTTTGAGTTTTTTAAAATCATTCCTTAATGTTGAATTTTGTCAAATGATTGCTATGACCATATGATTTTTCTTTTTTAGCTTATTAATATTTTGCATCATGTTGGTTGATTTTTTAAATATAATCAGACTTGCATTATTTGAGTAAACCTCACTTGGTAATGATGTATAATTCTTTTTCTATGTTGCTGAATTCTATTTGTTTATATTTTGTTAAGGGTTTTTGACACTATATTTATTAGAGATATTGGTTTGCAGTTTTATTTTATTCTTTGTATTTTCTTTTTTTTTCTGCCAAGAGATAAGGGAGTTTATACCCCTAACTCTGTTTTAGAAAGCACCAATCGGAGAACTAGTTTGAGCATAGCTACTTGGTCTTTTGGCCTTGTCTACTTTGAGATATACACATTTGCTCCTTAAGCTCTTTTCCAAAATATTGAACAGTTACCTGGTATAGTGCAAGAAGTCTAATGGAGGGCTTGACAGTATTTATACTCAGTATCACCTTGTTCCACGATTTCCCTTGGTTGTGACGTGGTGTTCTGTCACACCCCTGTCCTGGAACTCAGAGCCTGGAAGATCTTGGTGGTAAAGGATATTTGGGTTTAAAATCAAAAGACCTGTATACATGTTAATAATACCGGTTCTTGAATTTAGTAGCTGTGTTATGTTGAGCAATTACTTAACCTCTCTGATTAAATGAGATCAATTTAAATGAATATGTAAACTTCTTACTACATAAATGTCAGCTTTATTTTCATGGAACCTTTTAATTTTACAGGAAAGGAAATACTACTAATAAATGATTATTACTACCTAAACTGTTCCTAAATATCTTTTCCCTGTTCCTCTGATGATTTAAAAAATTATCAAGGGTTAATCAAGAAATTAGACTAAGAGATTTCACAGATTTATATTTTAATGTAATAATCTGAACTAATGATCTTTGATTTTGTATTTAAGCAGTTTTTATTTAGGAATGTGGCATTTACCTTCTTACCCTCTCTTTGGGATTATTTTACTGATAGCCATTTTTAATGAACTTAATACTACTTTTCTAGTAATCCCCCTTTTTTATTTACAATTTTTATCTGAAAACTGAACAACAAAATGATCCTGCAAAGAGATGTCTTTGTCATTTTGAGTGCCTCAGGGACCACTGATACAGCACTGTTCATTTCTTTGTTACAGCAATTCTGAACCAAGTGCTGGTACTAACGTGGTGTGTTCTCTTCCCCAGATGTAGGTAGTTAGACCTTGGAACTGCCTGCTGCTTCGTCTAGCTCTGGACCACTCCTGGTGGTTAATGGCTGTGGTTCTTTCGCTCTTTGTGCCTTTCATAAGCCCGAGGCAGCAAGGTTGAATAACAAATAGAAATATTGAAGTTAATATACCTTGGGAGAAAAAAAAATCATTCAGTTTTTTTTTTCTGGTTTTTGAAATATTTTGATGGATACTTTATATGCAGTTATTGAAGTACATGTTAAGAGGATTTGATTGGAAAGTTCAACTCCTAAAGTAACTTCCAATGGTGATATTTTGTATCTGTGATTGAGCAATATTTGTTGATAATCAAATGAAAAATATTGAGATACCCTACTGTCCATTTCCTAACTAGAAATAATGTGATAGATGTAAATTGACAACAAAATATATCAACACTGGGAAAATAGGTGAATAAAGAAAAGACATTCGTATGAACTGTGAAGTTATAGGTGATTTTGCAAAGGGAAGCTTTGGGCAACTTGGTCTAATTCACCTGTCTGCTTTCAGTTAGGTTCTTTCAATGTGATAATGATCTGACCTCACATCTAATTCCTTCATAGACAGAGACGTTACACTTTTTAGGGGCAGTGCATTTCAGGTCTCTTTCATTGACCCGGAGACGAACCCCTCTTTGTCATCAGTTTTCTTCCCATCCCCCAAATTATAAGCAAGCTAATATTAAATATAAGTAAACTTTTAAAAGAGTCCTTCACTTTCTAGGTTTCCCCCCCCTCTTTTAGCCTAATAATGTCTAAATCAGCTAAAGTAACTATAGCAAGAACGTTGAAAGGAATCAAGTAAAAATGTAATTTACTTCAGCATTATTTTTCTGGTTTTCCCAGATCTGAGTGAAAAAAGTCAATATAGTTTGCACCTGTGTGTGTGTGTGTGTGTGTGTAAAGAAATAGAGCCCGCATGAATGTTTGTTTTGTTACTTTGCATCTCTTCCTAAGTTTGATGAATATACAGGGGTAGACAAAAGTAGTTTTACAGTCCTGAGAATGCAAAACGGAGTTTATTCTTGTATTATTATTCATTAATTATTGTATTGTCCATGCAAACAACTGTAAACCTATTTTTGCCCACTCCTATATTGTATTTTAAAAAATGTTTTGTGTTTGCATCCAATAAGTTAAAAAGCTTTAAGAGTCTTGATCTACCTTCTTTTAGTTCTTAAAACCAAACCTTGTGATTCTCATTTTTTCTAGCTGGGGTCTCAGCAGAAGCCATGCAGACAATCACCACTGCTCCTGACACCACCTCAGGACCCGAAGCCAAAGCCCAAGAGGAAGAGCATGACCTTGTAGATGATGACATCACAACTGGTAGGGAGACGTCTTTAACGTAATCTGCATGAGCCTTGTCCAATATAGGACAATGCTTTTCTGTCATTTATAGTGGGACTAAGTATGTTGATGGAAAGGATGGAAGCTTTGTATTGGTGGAGTGTTTGGCATTATAAGACTCTTTAGTGTCCCTTTTGATCTTGAAGTGGAAAGAAGTGAAACTGTTTATTTGGTCCAGGTTTGCTCATTGTTGCTACAACAATGAACCTGCTAGCTGTGCATTTGATTTTCTGGGGACCTTCTAATTCAGAGGCTAGGGTCATTTCTAAAGCCTTGGGACATGTAGAGAAATACACCTATTATGTTATGAAAGGTTTTGCAATTATAGGGTAAACTGAACTTTTGAAATTGTAATAGCAATATATGCAATATAGAGTGCTTAAGGAAACGCACAGATACTCTTTTTACGTATACTATAGAAATAAATGCTGCTTTTAAAAGTTAGTTACATTGCTTGGTTATTGAACATTCTTATCTGTATTATTTATCATGTAACCAGGCAGAAAGTAAAATTTAGAAAAGCCATGCAGCACATATTTTCATCTTGTCTTTTTATAGATTTAAACAGTTTCCATTACTGGATCTTCAGATGCATTCAGCTCAGTTTCTTTCAATGCGCAGAGGATAAAAACAACCTAGTATAGATATTTTTATTGGTTTTAAGAATGATAAACTTTTACTTTTGGTGTGGGTGGTTAATGTAAAATCTGACAACATATGTCTATAATTATCATGAAGCAACAAATATTAACTTAATAGTAATCGATAATTGAGAAGCATGCCCAGAAAATATCAGTAAAATTTTCAATAGAAATTAAAAGGGAGAAAGAAACAAAAGGGAGGCTTATTTGTTTGTTTGTTTCTTCGAAAGCTCCGTGTGGCAGGTTCTTTCCTGTTAGCACCTGAGTGCCTTTCCAGGTGCTTCTGGGGGAGCCTATGATCTCCCTTGAAAATTTACAAAACCCATATTAACTTAAAAGCCCATGGTTTGTGTCACTGCTGCAAATACAGAGTTGACTAAGTGGGGAGCATCTGGTTTTCAATAAAAATGAGTTGATGGTGGTTGTTATTACTTGTACTTTTAAGTTATTTTTAATGTTATCGGTTCATTGATTTTTTTTAATCGTCTACTTTCAATATAAATTATTTCAGAAACTTTCAACTTTTCTGAAAGCCATTTGCACTTTACAATTATGGGATTTGTTTCAGTAGCTACTAAAGGAAGTTATTGTGTTTGCAAGTTTTTAAACTATTTTATTTTATTCCGTGTTCATTGCTTTTTAAAATGCTGTTATACATTGTCCTGGAGTGACAGGACAATGGGACAGATATCAAACAAAAAGCAGAAAAATTAAAACAAAATAAAATAAAATGCTGTTATAGATGTTTTGTTATATTTTAATCCATACAAATTTTAAAGGCCTTTTGTCTGTAAAAATGTAGTGGTTTAATTTAAAAAAAAGAAGTTACCTTTGCAATAGTAGAATAACTCGATTTGCATTCTGGAATAAAAGGTAAATTTTGAGCATTCAGTTTTAACTCAGTACATTGAAATTTGAATTATGCACTAACAAAGTCATAAGATTCCATTACAGCACATGACTATGTTTTTATTTCATTGTGAAAACAAATCAAGAAGCTTAAAAATGAAAATCTAGTTTCTGAGTGTCAATTAATTAATGTTACATAAACTATATTTTTAATCCGTATGAAGTTCAGTTAAACATACGTGACGAATGGCTTTTATCAGTTGATTTATTCATTTCATGCCATGGAGACAAGAAGCAAGAATGTTCAATATCCAAAGAATTTAAATAACTAAAAAAAGGGTTCCTTAACATGTTGTCAAAGCAACTAGCTTGCTGCAGTCTGTAGATCGTGCAGGTTAGATTGTGTGACTTGATTAAGATGTGGTATAGATTTTTATGAAGGTTTAGAAGAAAACCATATTTCTTTTTATTGACTAGAATCCTATATAAATTGCATTATGAAAAATATGGTAGATGCACCAAGAGAAACCTGTTCCAAGCATAATAATCTTATTTAGGGATAGCCAGCCTTGCAGAGAACACATACAAAAGGGAAAACTGGTCAGCTTAGCCTTTCACTTTGAAAAACCTCATGTATTTTTAGTTATTTAAAAGGCATTGCTGTAATGCTAGCTCCTCATAAAATAAATAGAAATTATATTATAGCAGAGATATTTGCCTGTATTTTGAATGGATTCTTATTTGGAGGCTACAGTTAGGCTAATATGCATTGTTGTATTAATTATATATTTGTAGTAATCTGGAACTTAATTTTTCAGTTAACTCAATTAAATAATTGACCAATATAGCAATTAAAATATGAAGTATAACTTAGTGCTTTTGCTATAAAAAGAATAGTCATTTTTGAGCTTTTTCTTTTGGGTGAGAATTCAATGAGTTACGAATGTTGTCTTGTGACACTGGAGTCTAAGCCTAGCAGTCTTTGTTAGTGTTGCTTTATACAAATAAAGAACCATGGATAAAACTGTGTACGTGTAGGCTATGATCAATTGGAACTAATTAAATTTATTTGAAATGAAGAGTCTTAACTGGAAGAGAACAGCTGGAAAAACTGGGAAGAAAAAATTGAGTCTTGATTGAGACAATTTAAACCTTCTCGCTGTCATTTAAAGAATATGCTGCAGCCCCTTTCTGTATCTCTTTTTTTAAAGCTAATATCTATTGATCGGCTCAACAAAGTAATGCCACAGTGTGCCTTGGTCAACACATACACTCAGTTTTACTTAGCCTTCTATCTCAGGTTCATCGAATTCTTTCCTTTAACCACATGTTTTAAATTACATATCAAACCTATATTAGCTATTTTTGCAGAGAATAGTTTTTAATGTAGAAAAATACTAAAACATTTCGTTTTTTAATATTGTATAGTATGCATGGTAATGTTCTTTCTTTTTCAATGGGATTACTTCAGGTTTTGCAATACTTCATGTAAAATCTGTTTTAACAACAATAATAGTATTTTCTTGAAAGTTAAATGAATGGTATGAAGATTGTTTCCAGATTATTTATAATTTCAGAGTCACGAGAATGTTACTCTAAACCTGTGGGTTTCTTTTATATCTGTACTTTAATTTTCAGTATTGTGATTTAAATATTTATGTAGATATATCAATATTTGTAAATAATATGTTCTTATTTTCATTATAATATTAACAGGTCAATTATATTAATAGAATAAGTCTCACTAAAAACTGACCTACATAGACCACTACTTTTTTAAGGTAGACCTTTTAGGTGACTTTGTTAGCTGTCTTTCTGCAGTGTCCATCATTGTAAAGGACGGCGTTCTGTGTGAGGATGAAGCCGTGCAAAGCCCAGATGTTGCATTTTAAAACAACCTCCCCCTAATTGCAGGTTACAAAGAAATTTGGAAGGGTTTCATTCACAGACCTGCATAGATCCATTTCAGAAAGGCACTCTATTTTTCTAAGGGTCATACTGCAGTGTCCTGCCTCTTGTTCAATATCGCAAGGACACAAACTGACCATATCGCAGTGATAAAGGGTCAGGAGTCACTGGCTGTCAGAAAGAGACAACTCGGTGGCAGATGAGCAGCGCAGGTGATAGATTTAGCTGCTTGCAACAAAAGCAGCGGTGATACAGGAGTCTAGATGGGTTTGTTGTACTTTTGATAAAATTTAAATTTAGTTTGTTAAATGAAAAGGAGAGAAGTGCTATGGATAAAAGAAAATATAGAAAAGGGTAAGAGAAATGGAAAGTAACATCTATTGACAACGTACGGTATCCAAGCGCTTTACACTTGACTCTTGCAACGTTTCTTTGAAGTGGATAGCAGTATTTCCCCAGCTATACAGATGAGGAAGCAAGCTCAGAGAGGTCACTTTTATAAGGTCATGGACATAACAAGTGACAGATCTGAGACTTCAAATGAGTCCTGCCCAATTCCAAAGCTTATGTGTGATCTTAAACAGCACCCCACCCTGCCTCATATGCTCAAACTTATTGACCTTGGGCAGATTTTCATTTTATTTTGAAATGTGAGATGATGTAGAGTCTGTCTTTATTGCTTATGACATTAGGCATAAGCCTGGTATTTGCTGGGTATCCTATCTTATTATTTAAAATTGAAACTTGTTATTTAAATATAGACCACAAGATTGTCTTCTTTAGAGAAAAATAATCATCACATATATGTTCTTTAAATTTTCAGCCATTATTATGGACTACTGTGATATAAGATTGTAACTGTAGTTTTTTATACTAAAGTTATTTTATTGCATACATGTAAAATGAAATATTTATTGTTCTGTTTAGCTTTTTGAAGTCATCAGCATAAAACAGACATCTTAACATATATTCATAAACTACAGTCAACATCTTTAGTATATTAAGATACAGCTAACAAGGACATCTAGTCTGAGACTAAATATGGATCTGTGCATTTTAGCATTTCCTAAAAGCTTTATTCATAAAATGTTATTACGCTTGTTTTGGCTGAAAGATAGAAAATTCATCCTATTAAAGTACACATAAGTTAGAAAGATCAAAGTTTATTTCATTATGTATTCAAAAGTCAGAAGCATTTTCTAAGCAGAGGGCCAGAGGCCTTATAATCTAGAGTAAGGCTGCCACACTGCACCCTTCCCGTCTCCTTTAACTTCTAAGAACTAGTACTGAGTAAGCGACTGAGTTAGTGAAACCATAACATAACTCCTATTTCAAATAGCATTTCTTATATACTATATATTTGCTTACATATACTTACGATTTAGTTATATGTGTATTTACTATATATTTCCTGTTCTTATATATAACATATATCTGCATGTATATATATCCTTAATCTTCCCTTTTCTTAGTGGATATTTAATGCTCAAAAAGCATTTGAGCATTAAATGCTTTAGATGTATTTCCAGATAAATTGTCTCTTGATACTGTGAAAATGAGACTTGGAACAGATCTAAGAGC